TATCGATTTTTCTTTTATGCCAAAAATCATTAGGATATTAAGTAAGATCGTGTTCCATGAAGATATTTTGTAAATTTCCTACTGTAAATATATTAAAACTTAATTTTTGATTAGTAATATGCATTGCTAAGAACGTTATTTGAACAACTTTAAAGATGATTTTCTCAATATTTAGATTTTTTTGCACCCTCAGATTCCAGATTTTCAAATATTGTCCTATCATAACAAACCATGCATCAATGGAAAGATTATTTATTCAGCTTTCAGATGATACATATCTCAATTTCAAAAAATTGACCCTTATGATTGGTTTTGTGCTCCAGGGTCACACATGCAGATATTTAGTTAAATTATCATGCTTTCTAGGAAAAAGTAACTCTGCTCTCCTGTGGCTACAGATTGTTTGTGCTCTATTGTGTTCTGCAGAGTGACAAGAATCTTGTCCAGGAAGTGACACGTCTACGGCGCTCTCTTGATGATGCCGAGTGTCTCAGTTTGGAGACCAAGAGAGAATGGGCCTTCCTGCGGAGCGAGAACATCTCACTAAAAGAGAGAGACGTGAGTAGAGGAGAGATGAGGGAGAGATCAGGCTGTGCGTGTCATTTACGTGACTCTGTGTTTCACTCAGGCAAACCTGACTACAGACCATGAGAAGATGGAAGCTGAGGTGAAGATGATTCAGGACAAGCTAGAACAAGAGAAGTCTCGCTTCAAGAAGATGCAAACGGATCTTCAAAAAGAACTGATGGGCGCCTTCGATGAGAACACCAAACTGACCGCTGTGCTGGATGGAAAAGTGCCAAAAAGTAGGTGAACGTACAGAAGGGACTTCATGATCCATGACTGCATATGCTCTCTAAAGTCATGCTTCTGGTTGAATTGTGAACAAATCACGACGATCATTAAATGTTTGAAATGCTGACGTTTCAGGCGAACTGAACCAGATAGTTTCCTCGCAAATGAAAATTCTTAATTCTTTAATTTTTAATGTCGTTCCGACTTTTGTTAATCTTTAGAACAAAGATGTTTTGTTTTTTTTATAAAGATTCTCATTTTTTGTCCATTAACTGAAAGAGAGATTAATTTTCAAGCTTTAAAATGCACGTAAAGACATTGTAAAAGTAATGTATATGAATCGAGCTGCTTAATCCAAGTCTTCTGAAAAGACGCTCGTTTTGTGATGAACGGGTTTAATTTAGGCTTATAAAGCGGATAGTTCTGGTGCTTGATTCTGATTGGCTGAGCCGCGTTCGAAGCTGTTGTAAATGACTCTACAAAGTAACATACACCTTTGTTTACGTTTGTGTGTTGCTCGGCAACCACTTTGTAGCAACCACAACTGTTTCTGAGGAGCTAAGATTTAATCAGCTGGTTGCCAGAAGTGTTTCAGTTATTGTAATCTTATGTAATATATCAAATTGATGTTTCCTCTTCACAGATCTGTCCGATAATCTCGTGTTGGAGAAAACGGTGTGTGACTTGCGTAAGGAGCTTGATCAGAGTCACGAGAGGGAGCGACGTCTGCAGAGTAAGATGGAGGAGTTCGAGACTCTTTCTGTTAAAGCGGATGAATTACAGAGACAGGTTAGAGGAACTGCGTCACATCGTCTTTGCTAGCTTTCTTTGTTTTTGTGTCTGCATGGCTAAATCTCATCCATTATGGTTTCTCAGGTGTGCGGTTTGTCAGAAGAGCTGCGTTCTGTTGGAGAGGAGAGAGACGCTTTGAGATCCGCTCAGTCCAGTTTGAGTGAAGCTCATCAGAGACTGAAAGAAGCTCAGGATCAGCTTCTGAAGATGGAGAGCGATCTGGTTGAGGCTCAGCTGAAGGAAGCAGAACTGACCCAGCAGCTCACAGAGACATCAGAACGTCTCCAGAACCTCCAGACGGATCTCCAGCGCGTCACGCAGGAGAGCTGCACACGTCTCGCATCATTAGAGGAGGCCACACAGAAGGTGCGTTCACACCTCACACTACACGCAGTCCCACTAACCACCAGCTTTACCAGTGATTCAACACTGTTTTTACTGTCAGTCGCTGCAGTTGAGCGCAGAGCTGGAGTCTGTCCGCGCCGAGAGAGATGTGCTTCTGTCTGAGAAGGTGAGGGAAGTTCAGAGCGACCCGGATGAGACGGAGAACCTGCGACGCACCATCAGCTCAATAACTGAAGAGCGAGAGCAGCTCCAGGAGATTCTGCAGGGCCTGAGAGACCAGCTCAAGAGGGACATGGAGGAGAATGTGGAGATGGTGAGCGCTCATTCCTGCACCATGATGATCTCAATCGACGTCAGACTTTTTTTTAACCCTTTGTTTTATTCACTGCAGATGATAGAGACTCAAGCAGAGCTGAGAGATGCTCAGGAGAAGGTGAAGGAACTTCAGGGAAAGCTACACCGCACGGAGTCACAGAGAGTTCAGACGGTCGACCAACAGAAGAGCTGTGAAGATGGACAGCTGGACAAACTACGAGATCAGGTGGCTGAGCTGTTTGACATGCATCATATAGTTCTACCATACCATAGATGATAGTAGTAGATGTATCCACACACACCTGCTTTCAGTTATTTAAATGCTCCGTATTAACTCTTTCCCCGCCAGCGATTTTGATGATTTTCACTAAAATTTGATGGTTTGCTGTATGAATATTTGAATATGCAATACATCAAAATAAAGATCAGAGCCTCTACTTTTAAACAAAAAGAAATCAGTTTTATTCTATCTTAAAGCATTCTTTATCAACACTTGAATATAGGTAGGTTTCATAAAAATGCATAATTTTGAGCAAAATCACATTATCAAATACTACATCTGAGTAATATTCAGTACGATTATCAAAGCATAAATCCAGTAAATCGCTTCCATCAACACCTCCAAAGCTTGCACAGACATCACGTCCTGGATCCACATTTCACTCCGAAACATTATGCAGTTTTCATTTATTTATTTTTCATAAGCATCTGTTTACATAAGAGATGGCTCGTTTCTCCGTCCTGTTCACGTGTGTTTTTGTTCGCGAGGTTTTGTACTCGTTCAGAAGATGTGTAATAGCGCCCCCGAGTGTATAACAGTGAAAACACGGAAAGCCGTAAAAACTCGTCTTTGGCGGGGAAGGAGTTAAAGTGTTGTTTATTTGCAGATAAAGCAGTTAACAGAAGAGCTCAGTGCTGTTGTTGGTGAGAAGAGATCGGATCATTGTGAGCAGTCAGACGTCACATCTTTAACAGAAGAGAGCGGTCAGCTTCAGGAGAGACTACAGCAGCTGGAGAGGGACAATATTCAGATGAAAACGCATCTGGAAGAGAAACATGAGATGGTGAGAAGAGTAATCATCACTCTAAACTCATTCAGACAGGTCAAGCTTCAAACAAAACCACAGGAATAATTTATTTCACTGTATTTTACCGTCATGTATCCTTTTTTCTTATTTTTTTATTCTCATCGTCACTGATTCTCATTAGGTACTGGTGACTTTAATACTCCGGAAGAAATTTGCATGTTTTAGTACAGCACAAATATTTAAAAAATGTAAATGGGTCAAAGACGTTAAGATGTCCGCATCAAAAGAAATGAACAAAAGTGATTTTATGTCCATAGAAAGCACATTAAATGTAACTAAAGCGTCTACTTTTAAGGTTTCAGATAAGTTTTTGGAGGATACAATGTTACAATTTGGTTGAAATAATGTTACATTGTCATTCAGTGTGACACAATATTTATGTAAAAATTCAAACATGCTTATTCTGACGTGTACATGTTAAAATATATAAAAGAATAAGAGAGCATATTACATTTGATTGTGTTTTAAATGAGTAAAAAATTCTTACTGACAAATGGGCAAAACCTAGGATAGTGGCACATTTAAAAAATGTAAAATTACGACTAATTAGTATTTGGAGTGAAAGTAATTAGTCGTTTAATATGTCATAAATTGATGTTTGTTGTAAATATGCCTGACAAGATCGTTACACTGAATGACATTTTAGTGGCTCTCTTCTGAAAATCAGGGGAAAATGTATGATATTTATTTTTTGCTCAGAAAAACAAAATTGCAATTAAATTAAACGATTTTTTTCAACGTACTAAAAAAACAACAATTTAAAGCAGTATTACATTTATTGTTTTTATGCTTCAACCCTTTTTTGTCTTTGACCGAAATGTAAAAAATGCTTAATTTAAACAGTTTAATTTGTTTTTGCGTTGTATAAGCATGAAAATATGAGTGAAGATTTGTGATGGTTATTTGTTTTTGTGTGCTTGGGTGAACTGTGACCTGGGGGCTGTTTCATAAAACAAAAGTCAGGCTTATTTCAGTTATTCTGACTTATTTTGAACCAAATCAACTGACAATAAGTCAGACTAACTGAAATAAACCTGGCTTTTGTTTTATGAAACAGCCCCTGGACATTCATAGCAGGCTGATTAAACACAAACTGATCTAATAAAATAATGAACCAAGAGCAACAATTTGAACTTGTATTCTGCAGATCCAGACACTAAAGGAAGAGCTTGAGACTTTATTAGAGCAGAGAAACCAGCTGAACTTGAACCTTCAAGAGACATCTCAACAGGTGGGACATCAGCTGGAGATCTGAAACTAGCTGCATGTGACGCCGGTCATAAGCCCTATTAATATACTTGAAGAGTTCATTTGCAAAATATTTATTTTTTCAGAAATCACGTTTTTTTTTTTATTGCGCATTCCAAGTAATATCAATCAAACTGCAGTTGGGTTGTTTTGATTAAGTAATAATAACAACTGAAGAAGATATCACAGGTTCATCAAGTTCGTCGAAATGATCCTCGATTGCTTTTAGTCAGCGAATACAGCGCGCTGATTCGCTGAAATGGATTTATCGGCTTCTGTTCACAAACAACAAGAGCGCTTGTCAGCTTCTGCAGTGAAACGTGAACTCACGATGCCTTGAAAATGGACAAAACCAGCTTTTTTGACAAAACGTGTTTAGGGTTCAGATCGCGCTATATGTGGAGAATAATGCAGTTTTTTTTTAAAGTGGCGTTTATCGTTTTTTTCAAATGAGCTCTTCATTTGCTGTTTCTCAGGTGTGCGGTCTGTCAGAAGAGCTGCGTTCTGTTGGAGAGGAGAGAGACGCTTTGAGATCTGCTCAGTCCAGTTTGAGTGAAGCTCATCAGAGACTGAAAGAAGCTCAGGATCAGCTTCTGAAGATGGAGAGCGATCTGGTTGAGGCTCAGCTGAAGGAAGCAGAACTGACCCAGCAGCTCACAGAGACATCAGAACGTCTCCAGAACCTCCAGACGGATCTCCAGCGCGTCACGCAGGAGAGCTGCACACGTCTCGCATCATTAGAGGAGGCCACACAGAAGGTGCGTTCACACCTCACACTACACGCAGTCCCACTAACCACCAGCTTTACCAGTGATTCAACACTGTTTTTACTGTCAGTCGCTGCAGTTGAGCGCAGAGCTGGAGTCTGTCCGCGCCGAGAGAGATGTGCTTCTGTCTGAGAAGGTGAGGGAAGTTCAGAGCGACCCGGATGAGACGGAGAACCTGCGACGCACCATCAGCTCAATAACTGAAGAGCGAGAGCAGCTCCAGGAGATTCTGCAGGGCCTGAGAGACCAGAGAGACCAGCTCAAGAGGGACCTTGAAGACACTAATGGGATGGTAAATGCTGAGTTTTATATTAGTATATAAATGATAAACTGAGCTGAGTGTCTTTTATTGGACGTGAAGAGCTCATTTGCAAAAACCGATAAACGCCACTTTAAAAAACTGCATTATTCTCCACATATAGCGCGATCTGAACCCTATACACGTTTTGTCAATAAAGCTGGTTTTGTCCATTTTCAAGGCATCGTGAGTTCACGTTTCACTGCAGAAGCCGACAAGCGCCTTGTTGTTTGTGAACAGAAGCCGATAAATCCATTCTAGCGAATCAGCGCGCTGTATTCAGGTCAGGTGACGAGGCTACTTTCACTCTGAAAAGACGTGCTAGCTGAGAGGAGTCTCGTCAAAGCTGACTAAAAGCAATCGAGGATCGTTTCGACGAACTTGATGAACCTGTGATATCATCTTCAGGCCGAAAAAGGAAAATAAAAGCTGAAAGGTTTTCAGGGAAGCTTGCAAAAGCAGCGTGTTACAACGGTGAGGGAAAAGCTGCGTGTAATCACATCCGTACGGTTTATGATCACAACAACAACAAAGTTTGTCAGGCGTCTACATTATCATCTGAGGAGATTACAAAGATTAAACCAGTGTTTCTTTAAACTCTAAAACATGAAATGTGGAGTTATCTGCTTTTGCTATAAAACAAACTTTTAATATGTATAAAAAAAAAAACATGCTTTCAATGAACTTTAAATTAGTAAATTACCTGTATTTGTTTAAGTTGTTATTATTACTTAAAACAACCCAGCTGCAGTTTGATTGATATTACTTGGAATGCGCAATAAAAAAATAAAAAAAGTGATTTCTGAAAAAATAAATAATGAAGTTATCGGTTTTTTGCAAATGAACTCTTCAAGTGTTTTCTCAGCTCATGCAGGTCCAGCAGGAACGCAGCGGCTCACACACAGTCACACAGCATGATGAACTCCTCCAGCAGGTAATCGGAGACCTTCACACGCTCTTCTTGATTTGGAGCATGTGTGATATTGATGATCATGGTTTTTATGTAGTGCATTCTCTCACAGATGCAGCAGCTTAAAGAGGAGCTGGACGCTGTGAGTCAGGAGAAGAACCAGTTAAAATCTGATCTACAGGAGAATGTCGAAATGGTGAGATGGGAATGACATGAGCACATGCTGTTTTTGGTATTCTTTTATTTCATCTTTTAAAAATGATAAACACTACCAAAAGTTTGGGGTCAGTAAGATATTTTAATGTGTTTGAAAGAAGTCCTTTCTGCTCACCAAGGCTGCATTTATTTGATCAAAAAAGTGAGAAATGTGAAAAATCTAAAGCAAGTGTTTTCTGTAAGTATGTTACAATGTAGTTTATTTCTGTGATCAAAGCTGAATTTATTTGATCAAAAATACAGTAAAAAATTTTTAAATATTATTGCAATTTAAAATAGCTGTTTCTATGTGAATCTGTTAAACTGTAATTTATTTCTGTGATGCGCAGCTGTATTTTCAGCATCATTACTCCAGTCTTCAGTGTCACATGATCTTCAGAAATCATTCTAATATGCTGATTTGCTGCTCAAGAAACATTTCTGATTATTATCAATGTTGAAAACAGTCGTGCTGCACAATATTTTTGTGGAAACTGATTCACAGATGAACAAAGTTCAAAAGAACAGCGTTTATTTTAAATGGAAATCTTTTGTAACATTATACATGTCTTTAATGGCACTTTTGATCAATGCAATGCGACCTTGATGAATAAAAGTGTTAATTTCTTTAAAAATATATATATATATATATTACTGATCTCAAACTTTTGAACTGGTTTTTTATAAGTTGAACTATGTACACTGGACACTATTGGCATGTTTCTGATGTAATGAGGGTCATGGAAATTATTATTTTTTTTTTTAGCTTGCATTTGTGACTTCAGAATAGCCCTTTTCTTTCCCCAAATGCAGATGATTGAAAATCAAGAGGAGCTGAGAGGAGCTCTTGAGAAGGTGAAAAATCTTCAGAATACTGTACAAGAACTGGAGTCTCAGCGAGCGCTCATGCAGTCGAAGGACTGCATGCAGTCGAAGGTAGGTCATGTCAGGGATTGATAAGGGCTGTTATTTAAGCAAGAGTCACAATTCTGGAAACAACAATGATTATCCAACTACTTGTTGAATTCATTGACTGCGAGTCAGGAAATACAAACTGTTTCTGCTGTTTGACCTCCACAGATAAAGCAGCTGAGAGAGGAGTTGGAGAATGTGTGCTGTGAGCGAGAGCGTCTGCTGTCTGAACGCTCCATGAACACACTCCGTGACACCGAGATGATGGAGCAGATGAAGGCCAGCATCAGCTCTCTGACGGAGGAGCGAGACCAGCTCCGACAGAGCCTCAGAGACGAGGTGGAGCAGCTGAGGACGGAGCAGCAGACGGTAAAAAACACATTGATTTAAAAGAGTGTTCTGGGCTGCGCTCAGCCTTTGTAAATCTATTTTCTGTGGTAGGATGTGATAGTCACATTATACTTACAATGGAAGTCCAGCACTGCAAATAATCATATGTGAGCCTGCAGCACAAAAGCAGTGTTAAGTCGCTGGGGTATATTTGTAGCAATAGTCAACAATACATTGTATGGGTCACAATGATACATGTTTCTTTTATGCCAAAAATCATTAGGATATTAAGTAAAGATCATGTTCCATGAAGATATTTTGTACATTTCCTACCGTAAATATATCAAAACTTAATGTTTGATTAGTAATATGCATTGCTAAGAACTTAATTTGATCAACTTTAAAGATGATTTTCTCAATATTTAGATTTTTTTGCACCCTCAGATTCCAGATTTTCAAATAGTTGTATCTCAGCCAAATATTGTCCTATCCTAACAAACCATACATCAATGGAAAGCTTATTTATTCAGCTTTCAGATGATGTATAAATCTCAATTTCAAAAAAGTGGCACTTAAGACTGGTTTTGTGCTCTAGGGTCACATTTTAAAATATCCAGCTATTACACGTGTGGAAGTATAGCTCAGTGTTTCCTATACACTGATTTATTTGTCGCTGCTCGCCACAATATTATAATTGACTGCCACAAATAGATTTTCCAAAAGGCTTTGACTTCGTTGAATAAACTGAGCACTGCACGTTTCAAAATCTGAATGCAGCGCGGGTGTTTTTATATGAATGTATCTTTGAAGCTTTTCTGAAGACGGTCGGTTCTTTTCAATGTCATTTTCATTTCGTCTTGCCTGATAAAGTAGCATTTGTGAATGCAGTGCTTGTTTAATTACAGCTGTTAACGGGGAAACTGCTATTTCTGCGCTCAAAAGCGCCTCCTGTTGGCAGAGAATGAATTTGCATTTTCAATCAGCCGCCTGCTGTTAAATATGTATGTACAGGTGCATCTCAAATTAGAATATCGTGAAAAGTTCTTTTTTTTTACTCATTTCAAAAAGTGGAACTTTCATGTATTCGATGATCGTCTTCTGGACCATTGCCAAGTCAGCAGGCTTCCCCATTATTGTGTTTTCAAAGAACAAGAGATACCCGGAACTTATACTGTAGGGATGGTCATTTAATGAAACTCAAATGTAAATATTCTAATATTGAGATACTGGATTTTTCATGAGCTGTAAGCTCTAATCATCAAAATTAAAACACAAACAACTTTTGAAATGTAATGAATCTAGAATATATGAAAGTTTCACTTTTTGAAATGTTAAAAAAAACCTGTTATCCTCTCTGGCTTCCGTGTTTTAATGAAGTGTTCCCTTCATCCAGATGGTCCAGTTGAGGTCAGAGCTCGAGTCCGTGTATGCCGAGAGAGACCGTGTGTCGTCTGAAAGAACCGGAGACCTGCAGGAGATGAGCGCCGTGACCGAGGAGCGAGATCAGCTCCTGGAGACTCTACAGCGGCTCACAGACGAGAGCGAGCAGCTCAAGAGAGACCAGATGGTGAGACGCTTTTCAGTGTGGTTCATCTCTGTTCACATGTACATGACAGTCCTCTAGGGATGTAACGATATTATCGTGGTCACATGACGATATGAAACGATAGGTCTTCCTAAAAGTCTAGTTTTTAAAATCTATTTAAACTTCTTATTCTAAAAGACATAAAAGGTCTTTAAAGTTGTGTTTTGGGCCATTATGCTTTGGCACAGTACTGTATCTGTCAAACGAACTAAAACTGAAAGCACAATGTGCTTAATCTCTTCATCGAGTCTGTTTTCGCTGCGTGTTTCAAAGCGACGCGCACACTTCGTTCAGACGATCAGCTCGTGATCCGGTGTTTTCTGCGTCTCAGAACGACTCGTTCACACTGAATTAATGCAGTCAACTCTATTTCACGTGCTGTGAGTTTAGCGCGCGTTTGGAAACTCAACAGACACCAGTTATGCTGTATTTTCGTGGCAGATGATTACAGCGTTTCACTAGATTTGTAGTGAGACGTGTTTGTGTTTTTGTAAGTATGTTTTCACTGAAGCTGGAGTTTTCAGTCAAAATAAAAGCATAAAGTGTAGTATGAATTGCTGACAGCCAGCGGTTTAAATGCAGTCCAAATTCAAAATATCTGTAGTGTGTAGAAATTAGGAAAGAAGTATTGTAATTTCCCTACCGTAGTGTAAAGCAAAAATAATATACCTATGAAATATTAATTTTCTTTTATTTTACAGTGCAATTGTTTTACAATATGTAGGGGTGCTCCGATCAGGATTTGAGGCCGATCACAGAAAGCAGTATCTGCCGATACCGATATTTTTAATGCCTTTTTATGATGTAGAATTATTTATAGTGATGATCCAATCAAGATTTTTAGATGTTTATTCAGGGTTTGAATTTCATTTTTGAAAACGAATTCCCCTCTTAGGTGACTCTCGTGAGGGGTGGAGGAGGGCGTTTTTTTTAGACATTTTTCAAAAATATATATTTATCTCACCTAAATGCACCACATTTTTGTTTTGAGAATCGTGCAATTGTTGCACAATAGCTTACACACAGCACAAGCCTGATTTCGTGAGCTGTATGAGGTTCACACTTACTCCGTTTGCAGTGTGTATGCAGTCCATGTGTGGTTCAGAAGCAGCTTTCACACAGGAGTCTGCTGCTGATCCAGGGCTGTTTAATACAAACACAACATTTATGCATTATTCTGATTTCAAATCCAAACATTGCTACTTAAAATGCTTCTTTTTTTACACAGTACAGTGATACAATCTTTCATAGACGTGTTTAAACACAATAAATATAAACACATTCAATGCTTTTTACTTTTGCATTTACTTCTAGATTTATATATTAAGTTGCTCAAGCAAGTGGCAAAACATTTAAACTCCACGAGTGCCATCTATTATTGCCTTGTTTATCTAAAAGTGCTCTTTTCCTTTAAACCCAGCCAAAAATCCCATGTTGACTGTGAAATACAGTAGAGTTTAATTATATGCATTTATGGTGTAATTACTACATTTTCGTGTCAATCCATGTTCATATTTACTGCAAACAATGCGGCTCTCATTGTTAAACTCGGTGTGGAAACGATCTCTGCAGCTGCACCGCTCCTGAACGCACTGCCGGACCGCAACCGTGTGCACGCTTTAATCCGTTAACATGAGCGCGGAAAAAAGACGCACCACATACACGCTGCAAACGGAGTAATGTGTGGCGTTGTGTGTGCGCTGCGAGTGTGCATGAGCACTCTGTCTCCAGGAGACCGCACGAACGCTGAATGGTTAAACACTGGCAAGGAATAAAAAGAAATGCAATTTATAAACTTTAGTGATGATGCGACACTGCCTCGATTGTGCAAGTGACAATTCCGGTGTCGACTGTGCAGCGTGCAGCTCGCTTATAGACAGACGTGATGTGATTTGAAGCCATTTGCGCATTTTGAGCGAGAAAGAGCGCGCGCAGTGATTCATTCACACCGTTTGTGAAATTAGGTCTCACAGAAAGTTTTCAAATTACTTTAAGTTATTTAATGAAGAAATATGAATTGTACCTCACCTTCAGCATTATAATTATTTCACCCGCACCGGACAGAGACTGAGACGGTGCCGCTGCATGTCGTGCCAAACCTCTCACAGCAGCGTCATCAGCTTGAGATCGTTTTATGAGATCTGCCTTTTTAGAGACCGCCGATCAATCATCCCAAAGCGATTATCGGCCGATAGTGATCGGTAGCCGATCAATCAGAGCATCCCTAACAATAGGTTGGTGGTGGTGTTGCTGTGTTTGTTGTTGTGTTTGGTGTTGGTGTGTTTGGTGTTGTTGGGTGTTGTGTTGGTGGTGTTGTGTTTGATGGTGGTGTTGTGGTGTTTGGTGTTGGTGGTGTTGTGTTTGGTTTTGATGTTGGTGGTATTGTTCCTAAAACACCAGTGTGAATGTAATTTAGACTGAGACAGTATATCACAAATAAAAAGAGGGTTGAGTCCCCTTTAAAATTCAAGTCAATTCACTGACTTTTTTTTCTGACTTAAGTCTTCTTAGTTAAGAACATGGGTTGCAGCTCTTAATTTTGAACTCTCAAAGTGCATTAGATAGAATAACTTTAAAATGTACAAAATGTTAATTTTTTTTCCGAGTTCATTTGTCTTTATTTTTTTTAAATACCGCAACAAATATCATATCGTGGACTTCATATCGCGATATTATTGTATCGTGAGATTTTGGTATTGTTACATCCCTACAGTCCTCCCATGATTCTCAGCTGGTCCAGGTGCGAGAGCAGCTCCAGACGGCCTGTGCCGAGAGAGACCGTCTGCTGTCTGAGAAGAGCAAGAGCGATCTGGAGAACACGCTTCTAGAGGAAGTGCAGAGCAGCCTGGCCTCTGTCACTGAGGAGAGAGAGCAGCTCCTGGAGATCCTGCAGGTCAAATAGAATAACTTTAAAATGTACAAAATGTTAATTTTTTTCCGAGTTCATTTGTCTTTATTTTTTTTAAATATCGCAATAAATATCATATCGTGGACTTCATATCGCGATATTATTGTATCGTGAGATTTTGGTATTGTTACATCCCTACAGTCCTCCCATGATTCTCAGCTGGTCCAGGTGCGAGAGCAGCTCCAGACGGCCTGTGCCGAGAGAGACCGTCTGCTGTCTGAGAAGAGCAAGAGCGATCTGGAGAACACGCTTCTAGAGGAAGTGCAGAGCAGCCTGGCCTCTGTCACTGAGGAGAGAGAGCAGCTCCTGGAGATCCTGCAGGTCAACAGAGAGGAGAAGAACCAGCTGAGGAGAGACCTGGAGGACAAGGACGAGACTGTGAGGGATTTGAGTTCTCCAATTAGGGGCAGTTTTGACTTAAAGGGACAGCGCACCCAAAAATGAAAATTCTGTCATTATTTATTCACACTTTTGTTGTTCCAAACCTGTATGACTTTTTATTTTGTGGAACTCTGAAGTTATTTTGAAGAATCTTTGTAACCAAACAGTTTTGGTTCCCTTTAACCTCCATTGAAATTTTTTTTTTTTAATTTGTCCATTCTATGAAAGTCAATGGAAACTGTTCCCAACATTAAAAAAAAATAAAAAATGGAACGACACAAGGTTAACAAGTAAATAATTGCACAATTTCCATATTTGATTGAACTGTCTTTTTCATCTACATTTAAACATATCACATCATAATGGCCTTAATGAGCTTTCAAGTGGATTTTGTCACTCAGATTAGTAACTTTATTTTGCATCATAGCCAAAAATGTTTATTTTGGGTACCACTCCATTATTTTCTTAAATCATCCAGAAAAGTTCCCCTGATTCATGAATCGCCCTAATGGGATCATATTTTCTCTTATCAGTTGCTGCAGCTGAGAGAAGAGCTTCAGTCGTCCTCTGCAGAGAAAGAGCGGCTGCTTTCTGAGAGAACCGAAGAGCAGCAGGAGAAGCTAGCAGAGATGAAGACGGCTGAAGCTAGCATCACCGCTTTGACTCGAGAGAGAGATCGTCTGCTGGAGACGCTGCAGAGAGTGAGAGACGAGAGAGATCAGCTGGAGAAGAGCGAGATGGTAACAGAAGCATATGGCAAAAATATAATCACGGGGTGATGTTTCACTATTCTCTGTCATGTTGGTTTTACTATTTTGAAAGTTGTCTGAGAAGTACTGCAGAACGAATTTCAGTATAAAAAAATTAAAAAAAAAAAAAGCATTACTAGGTTACGTATTATAAAATAAAATAAAAAAATGAATGGCAGACATTTAGTCCAAAGTGGGCGGAGATTAAAGTCTTTGTCATTATATTATCTTTGTTATTAAAAAATAAGAACAAAGATACACAAATACACATAATATACAAATAAAACAAACAGTGCTTCATTTTTCAGGTATGGTAGGTTTATTTAGCAGTAGCATTCAAGAAATTGAATGAACAAATATTAAAATAAAACACTGTACACTTCACTGTGTACATTTATTTATTGATTCTAACTGTATGAAAAATGTTCTGTAAAGAGTAGAGCAGTGAGTTTTTTTTTTTTCCTGTTTTGTTTGTTAACATTAAAGGTATAGTTCACCCAAAAATGACAATTCCGTCATGATTTACTACTCACTATTATTTTTGGGTGAACAAGCGGCAGCATATTTAGTACTGTCTCTTTAAGAGCTGCGCATCTAATATACAGGCACGCATCTGTTTTCTCCTAGCTGTTCACTTTAGACGTAACCAGATGTGTTTATATGTAAACCTTGTGTGTTTTGATGATATTAGATGCTAAATCAATCAGACGCGAAAAACAACTTAGTCCAGTAATCAGGCGCTGTTTGACAGGCTTTTAGTGCGCGCGCTTCAGGAAAAAGCACACGTCACACTGCAAAAAATATTTTCTTCCTTAGTATTTATGTCTTGTTTTCTAGTATGAATATCTAAAAATTCTTGAATCAGGATGCATTTATTTGACAAGTAAAACGACTTGTTTTCTGAAAATATTATCCAAATTGTTAATTTTTGCTTAAAACAAGTTAAAAAAAAAATCTGCCAGTGGGGTAAGAAAAATACTCTTAATTCAAAGGCTAAACAAGTTTATTTTTCTTACCCCACTGGCAGATATTTTTACTTGTTTTAAGCAAAAACTAACAAAATTTGGATAATATTTTCAGAAAACAAGACATAATATCTCAAGTCGTTTTACTTGTCAAGTAAATGCATCTTAGATATTTATACAAGAAAACAAGACAAAAATACTAGGGAAGAAAATCATTTTTTGCAGTGCAGAACAGAACGTGAATGAAATGTGTAACCGGCAAGGCTTTAAAGCACATGCAAATAATGTACTTTTGTGATTGTGAATAAGTGCAGTGTAACTCTACCGCCGAGTTAACATTTGATGTGAATGTACAGTAAATTGAGGCGGAGGCATCGGAACTGATAGAATGTGCGCTGGAGCACGATACTACGATATTTCTTCAAAAGCAGATTGTGGAGACATTTTAATCCATGATCAAAAATTGTCATATCGCACACCATCAGCTCCTGTGCTGCCGAGTGTGATTCAGAAGCAGAACGTTTCTCCGCTGCTTCACAGATGCTGCAGTCAGTTTGTGCCGAGAGAGACCGTCTGATGACGTTTTGCACTGCAGAACAGAACGTGAATGAAATGTGTAACCGGCAAGGCTTTAAAGCACATGCAAATAATGTACTTTTGTGATTGTGAATAAGTGCAGTGGAACTCTACCGCCGAGTTAACATTTGATGTGAATGTACAGTAAATTGAGGCGGAGGCATCGGAACTGATAGAATGTGCGCTGTAGCACGATACTACGATATTTCTTCAAAAGCAGATTGTGGAGACATTTTAATCCATGATCAAAAATTGTCATATCGCACACCATCAGCTCCTGTGCTGCCGAGTGTGATTCAGAAGCAGAACGTTTCTCCGCTGCTTCACAGATGCTGCAGTCAGTTTGTGCCGAGAGAGACCGTCTGATGACGGAGAGAGACGCTGCGTGTCACCAGTCCAGCATGACGTCTCTGAGCAAAGGAGGAGACCTTCAGGAGATCCTGCAGGGTGTTCGAGAGGTAACCGCACACACCCGTGTGCCTTTCTGAATGAATGAAGAGGTTAAGAGTTGGTTAACTCATTCATATCTCTCTCTCTTCAGCTGATCCAGGTCCAAGGAGAGCTCAAGCAGAAGAAACCCACAGAGAAGCAGAAAGCTCAACTTGAGCAGGTACGTAACGCTGTGTGCAATCATTTAATGCAAGAGAGCACATAGTGCATACAGAGTTTCTGCAGCTCTTAAAAATTTTAATTCCCGCTTTCACAAATGTGACCCTGGACCACAAAACCAGTCATAAGGGTCAATTTTTTTAATTTGTGAATACATTGTATGGGTCAAAATTATCCATTTTTCTTTTATGCCAAAAGTCATTAGGATATTAAGTAAAGATCATGTTCCATGAAGATATTTTGTAAATTTCCTACTGTAAATATATCAAAACTTAATTTTTGATTAGCAATATGCATTGCTAAGAACTTCATTTGGACAACTTTTAAAGATGATTTTCTCAATATTTAGATTTTTTTGCATCCTCAGATTCCAGATTTTCAAATATTGTCCTATCCTAACAAACCATACATCAATGGAAAAATTGACACTTAAGACTGGTTTTGTGCTCCAGGGTTACATATTGTGAAAGTCAATGGGAATGGAAACTGTTGGTTACCAGCATTCTTCAAAACATCTGCAAGAATTGTTAATGGAATAAAAATTGGAAGCAGAACCATTCATTTCGATGTGGGTTTCATCTCTTTGTGATCTTGTCCAGATTCAAGCTCTCACTGAGGAGATGGAGTCTCTGAGGAATCAGAGGGTGGTGCTCAGGAAAGAGCTTCAGGAGGCAGCTGCGACTGTGAGGCTTCGTCATCACATGAATAATGTCACCTGAGCTCCACACTACACCTCACTGACTGTTTATACTTTCTCGCAGTCTAAAATGTATCAGGATTTACTGCACGTTACTAAGGAGGAGCTGAAGAAACAGCAGAAAGAGAACGCAGAACTGATGGAGCAGAGTGCTGCGAAAGAGTCTCCGCTTCAGCAGCAGGTGAGCACTGTTAGACACGGATTAACAATCCTTACATAAGACAAGTGAATGATTAAATGCTGGAAATCTCTTATTCTGTTTCCTCAGTTGAGTCAAATAAGTGAAGATCTCTCAGCTTTACGAGACCAGCACAACACAGAGATCCAAAACCTCCAATCAAAACTCACCTCACTTACAAAAGTGAGGGATGAACTCCAGGACACGCTAAAGAGAACCAGAAAGGAGGGAGAACAACTGAGACAGAACCTTCAAAAGAGTGAGGAGATGGTAAGCTTGTTACTAGCTGCGAAAGAGTCTCGGCTTCAGCAGCAGGTGAGTGCTGTTAGATAGGGATGTAACGATTAACCGCGAGCCGGTTGAAAATCGATTCAAATATGTGACGATTCAAATTGGTTGACATGCTAAATGCAGCGCTGCTTTGTTTACAGCGGTAACCAAGGAAACCCTCTATCATTGCTGTTCATAAGCGCAGCTCTGCTTTATTTACAGCGGTAACCAAGGAAACACGTTACTTATTTGATTTGGGGCTTCTTTTAAAATTTAGTTTAGTTATTTACATTTTGTCCAAGCAATAATAAAAGGACACATTTAATTTATAATTTGTCTTAAATCTCATTTTGTTAAAAAAATCGTGAATCGAATCGTGAGTTGAGTGATTCGTTACATCCTTACTGTTAGATAACATCCTTACACACAACAGGTGAGTGATTAAACGCCTCGTCTCTTGTTCTGTGTCCTCTCAGCTGAGTCTAATGAGTGAAGATCTCTCCGCTTTACGAGACCAGCGAAACACAGGCATCCAAAACCTCCAATCAAACCTCCGCTCACTTACAAAAGAGAAAGATGAACTCCAAGACACGCTGAAGAGAAGCAGAGAGGAGGGAGAAACACTGAGCCTGGGTCTTCAGAAGAGTGAGGAGACGGTAAGCTTGTTAATAATAGCTACGATGCATCATACAGTCATTTTAGTTCACACTGCTCACACACAGGAAAACTGCTCATTACATATCAACTTTGTTGCTAGATTTAGCAACTTTTCAGACTACTCTAGCAACTTTTTCTTCACGAAGCACCTAGCAACAAATTTAGCTGTTTTTAAAGTGTATTTGGCAACTCAAATGATAAAAAGGCACATTTTCCCTCTAATTTACACAGAGGAAATCAAAGGTGTCTAGCTGTGCATATATCACGTGGATTAAGTTGCTAGTTGCAATTGTTCAATAATTAAAACACCTTGTTATTAGTTTGTACCTGCACTTGTTGATCAGATCAGGTAAAGATTATGTAGAAAAATGGAAAATGTACTGGTAATTTTCTGCCAGGACATTATTAAAGTTGTAACCTGAAAACACAAAATACAATGCGTAATTTTAAATAACATTTTTAAAAAATAAAACTGTGAAAAATCAACAGAAAATTCCTTCAGATTAACACAGTACATTGTGCTCTGTTTTACAGACTTTACTGTGTAGCATACTAACTAACTACAGTGTTTCCCACAGCCTTACACTCTATTCCCCCGCCCCCATATATATATCCATCTATATATATATATGCAAAATCATTTTCTGCCAGCAGGAGGCGCTTTTTGAGCGGGAGAGATAGAGGTTTCCCCGGTAACGCTGTACACAAAGCAGTGCTCCTCTCACAAACACTGCTTTATCAGGCATTACATGCATGAAAATAACATCAAAAAATTTCTGAAGAAAGTCGGTTTCCTTCTGAAATACAGTGATATAAAAACACCCGCACCGGTTTTTGATTTTTAAACATGCAGTGCTCAGGTTTTTTTCAACGAAGTCAAAGCCTTTTGGAAAATCTATTTGTGGCGGTCAGTTTTGATATTGTGACGGACCGCCACAAATAAATCAATGTATTGGGAAACCCTGAACTACCAATACACTGCTTAAAAAATATAATTGTTCGTTGTTTACTGGTTAATAAGAAAATACATAAAATTTAAATGTTCAAAAATGTGTAAATGTTCAATATTTCAATGTTGTATTTAAAAATAAATCTATTATAAAGCAGATAGTTCCGGTCCTTGATTCTGATTGGCTGAGCCGCGTTCGAAGCTGTTGTAAATTACTCTACAAAGTAACATACACCTTTGTTTACGTTTGTGTGTTGCTCGGCAACCACTTTGTTGCAACCACAGCTGTTTCTGAGGAGCTACATTGTTTGGTGGAAGAATACTGTTTTTATTAATATCATTACACTTTATTTGCTCTGTTTTATTTTGTGAAACCTTACTACGTATATGGAATAACCGTTTTATAAAAGCAATAATCCCCGTGAAGCTGTGGTTTACAGTGAATTTACCTAACAACGCCCCTTAGCTGTTATAAATTCACTGTAAACCACGGCTTCACGGGGATTATTGCTTTAATAAATATATTTATCTTTTTAGTTTTACTAACATATCTCAATTAACATTTCAAATCGCATTCATAATCATATTTTTTGCTGAGATTTGAGTGATCTGATTGTGTGTTCTTTGCAGTTTTGCATTGATTACATAATGATGTCATCTAGCAGCTTTTAGCAACAAATTGTCTCGCCTTTCAGCAACTTTCCCTGAAAAGTAGTTGGCAACACTGTTACATAAAGTAATTTGTCGTTTCTTTAGCGAAAGCAGCTGACAGAGGAGCTCGAGTGTCTCGCTGGCTTGAAGGATCAGCTGGAGAATGAGAAGATCTGTGCCGAGAAGATCCTGGAGTCGTTAAGAGATGCCACGAAAGAGAGCGATCAGCTCAAACGAGAACTGCAGGGAAAGATGGAGAAGGTGAGGACTTAAAATGTGCTGAAAAGAGCAGGTGTAATAAATCAGACTCCTACTAACTGGATCTGACGTCAGAGTTTAGTTGCTGCGAAAGCTGGTTTTTGGACTAAAGGTTCCTTTATTGTAGAAAAAGGTTATTTTATTCTTTATTAAATATATGTACAAATAATAAATTACATGAAATCCATCCGGAGATTTCAAACAGATCTCTTAAAGCTAGATTTGATCATGTGGTATTTAGCAGATGTCATACAAGACTGACTCGAGCATTTTTGCTTAAAGGTGAAGACTACTCAAAGCATGTTCTGCAAGACTCCCCTTTCTGTCCAACATTTTATTAGACTGTTCATAAAAAAAATATTTTATGAAGTGAACTCACTTAAAGAGTTTAGTATAATTTTGCCAGAAAAAAGTTTTAGAATTTTTATCACGTTAATGTAAAAAAATCTTGTGTAATATAACTTTTGTTGGTTTTTATTGTATTTGTTATACTTGTATTTTATGCCATGATAATAGCCTAAGATGCTGACATGGCATTAAATAAAAAATATTAGTGCTGTCAAACGATTAATCGCATCCAAAATAAGTTTAGGTTTTTTTTTTTAACATAATATACTGTCTATTTATGTATATATAAATACGTACACGCATATATTTTGAAAATATTTACATGTATGTATTTATATTCATATAATTTTTATTATATATATAAATATATTTCATATATAAACAACATATTTTTCTTACATTTATTCATGCGTGTATGCGTGTGTTTATATATACATAATAAATATACACCATACACACCCATATATTATGTAAACAAATTTTTATTTTGGATGCGATTTAATTGCATTTAATCGTTTGACAGCACTAAAAAAAAATATACTAATACTGCTACTTTAGATTATTAAAATGTTCTTCACACTAAGAAAAATTGGTTCTTTTATTAGCTGATCACCGAAAGGTTCTTTGGAGAACCAAAAATGGTCCTTCTATGAAAACACCCAATGAATAATGTCACTAAGTGTATCTTTGTGTTAACACTGTAATCGTACTCCCACAGCTGGCACACACTGAATCAAAAGCAGAGCAGCTGGAAAAGCAGAAGATCCTGCTGGAATCTGAAGTGCATTCCCTCAGTCAGGTGACCGTCTCTTCATGTTCTAACCCAGAAGAACCGGTTCCTTTAACTAGCTTTTAAAGCGGCGTCTCGTTGTGTTTCAGTCTCTCTCTGAGGTGAACTGCAGCGTGTCTTCGGATCAGTCTAAACACCCATCTGCACATCTGATTCCTGGGATTGAGACGTCTGCTGAGAAACTGCAGGTAGATGATGATGATGATGATGATGGTGTGTGGTCTTATGACGGTTTTAATAGCCTGAGGTCTTTCCTCCATGTGAAGGCGGCCTTTGCAACGCTCCAGCTGATCATTGACCGTCCCACTAATGCTTTAGCGGCTATTAACCGTGAAGAATGGGCCGTGATCTATCAGCTGCTGCAGATTATTCCAAAGAATCAGAGAACCGTCGTCGTTACACACACCAAGAAAACAACCAGACTGAACCATGTGCTGATCAAGATTGCGGTAAGAGTACACAAATCACAACCACCAGCATCTTTGAGATGGAATGCTAACCTGAGGACAAACCACTGTAGGAGGCTTACAGGAGACTGGCGCAGCGCTATAAGACTCGCTTTGAGACGCAGCTGCAGCGTGATGTGGCCTCGTTTGAGGAGTCTCGCCTGCAGGACCTGCTCGCGCTCACGGCTCCGTCACAGTCTTTCCGAGCGCTCCAGGATGACTTCCAGCAGGTCTGGGATCTGAGACTGACATGTCTGCTGGAAAGATGGCAGCAGTACTTGCAGGTATGAGCATTTTTGTTTAGCTACAGGGCTGGGCGATATAGATAAAAAATGTATCACGATATAATGTTTAGAAGACGATCGATTGATCGGCCTTAGATTATGTCCAGTGTTTTCCATACATTGAGTTATTTGTGGAGGCTCGTCAAACAAATCGATTTTCCAAAAGGCTTATTAGTGGCCCTGGATGTCTGCTGGAAAGATGGCAGCAGTACTTGCAGGTATGAGCATTTTTGTTTAGCTACAGGGCTGGGCGATATAGATAAAAAATGTATCACGATATAATGTTTAGAAGACGATCGATTGATCGGCCTTAGATTATGTCCAGTGTTTTCCATACATTGAGTTATTTGTGGAGGCTCGGTAAACAAATCGATTTTCCAAAAGGCTTATTAGTGGCCCTGGAGCACAAAAGCAGTGTTAAGTCGCTGGGGTATATTTGTAGCAATAGCCAACAATACATTGTATGGGTCAAAATTATACATTTTTCTTTTATGCCAAAAATCATTAGGATATTAAGTAAAGATCATGTTCCATGACATCTCAATTTCGAAAAATGTACCCTTATGACTGGTTTTGTGCTCCAGAGTCACATATTTCGTTGAATAAACGGAGCACTGCACGTTTCAATTAAAATGCAGCGCCGGTGTTTGTATATTACTGTATCTTTGAAAAGAACCGACGGTCTTCAGAAAAGCATCAATGTCATTTTCAATTTGTCTTTTCTGTATTGCCTGATAAAGTAGCATTTGTGAACACAGCACTTATTTGATTACAGCCGTTACCGTGGAAACCGCTATACTTCTCCCGCTCCAGCAGTGACACTGTTGTCCTCTGTAGAGTTGCTTTATTCATCTTATGAAATGCTGTTATTGTCCTGTTTTCTTTGTGTGAAGCTGCTTTGAAACACTCTGTCTTGTATAAACCGCTATAGAAATAAACGTCCTGGCCGTATTTCAGTATCCTGGTACTGATGTGTTTTATTTGTGTGTTGATCAGACGCTGGAGGCTGGTGTAAGGGTTCTGGAGGAGGGTTTATCCAAACACGCAGTGATGGTGTCAGAGGAGCATCAGCACCGGATCCGTGATCTGGAGGAGCTGAGATCTCTGCTCGGATCTCCTCAGGCCTCTGCCGTCTTACAGCTGCTCCAGCGACAAATCTCTCGCCGCTCCAAAGCCACCGAGCATCTCAACACGTTTTATTTCGTAAGCGATGCATGTGTTTTGAAACGCTGCTACGTGTCTTTGTTCCGCACCTTTCCTGACCATCAGTTCTCGTTGACAGGCTCTGTTGAATCGATGCGAATCTGTGCGCTCTCCTCTCATATCTGCCTCTGCCGAGTCCGAGCAGCAGCTCGAGGATCAGAGGAGACAGACTTTAACTCTGCTTCAAGCCCAACACGGCACTTTACCCAAAACTGAGGCTGAACTTCTGCAGGACAATCAGCGAGTGTCACTGCAGCTGCAGCAGACGCAGAAACAGATGGAGGTACGGAGAGTGGTGCTGTTATGCAGGCTTAAATCCACATGAAATTGAAATTCACACTACTTTTTCTAAGTGCATCCTATTGTGAGGGATTTTATGCATGCATTTTTTTTCTTTTTACTCGTAGTTTGCATGTGTTTTGTGAAACGCTGCTACGTGTCTTTGTTCCGCACCTTTCCTGACCATCAGTTCTCGTTGACAGGCCCTGTTGAATCGATGCGAATCTGTGTGCTCTCCTCTCATATCTGCCTCTGCCGAGTCCGAGCAGCAGCTCGAGGATCAGAGGAGACAGACTTTAACTCTGCTTCAAGCCCAACACGGCACTTTACCCAAAACTGAGGCTGAACTTCTGCAGGACAATCAGCGAGTGTCACTGCAGCTGCAGCAGACGCAGAAACAGATGGAGGTACGGAGAGTGGTGCTGTTATGCAGGCTTAAATCCACATGAAATTGAAATTCACACTACTTTTTCTAAGTGCATCCTATTGTGAGGGATTTTATGCATGCATTTTTTTTCTTTTTACTCGTAGTTTGTGACCCTGGAGCACAAAACCTGTTATAAGTAGCAATAGCCAACAATACATTGTATGGGTCAAAATTATACATTTTTCTTTTATGCCAAAAATCATTAGGATATTAAGTAAAGATCATGTTCCATGAAGATATTTTGTAAATTTCCTACCGTAAATATATCAAAACTTAATTTTTGATTAGTAATATGCATTGCTAAGAACTTCATTTGAACAACTTTAAAGATGATTTTCTCAATATTTAGATTTTTTTGCTCTCTCAGATTCCAGATTTTCAAATATTGTCCTATCCTAACAAACCATACATCAATGGAAAGATTATTTATTCAGCTTTCAGATGATGCATAAATCTCAATTTCGAAAAATTGACCCTTATGACTGGTTTTGTGCTCCAGAGTCGCATATATTCTGTTCTAATTTAATTCTGTAAATTAACTTTAGATTTTTGGCGCATCGGTGTTGCGCTGTACTTAAAGCATTCTCGCACAGGCAATTTAGCAGATTTAATTTGATTTGCCCCCAAAACACATACACACACACACTCTCACACACGCACTCACACACACACTCTCACACACGCACTCACACTCACACGCACTCACACCTCTCTCTCTCTCTCACACACACACACACACACACACACACTCTCTCTCTCTCACACACACACACTCTCTCTCTTTCTCTCACACACACACAGACACTATTCTATAGGCAAGACTTGACTAATCTGATTCGAGTATGTAAATTCTTAATCGGGCACATGCCTACAAATCACTAGATGGTAGCATCAACACAGCGATTTGTCACAGAACATGTTTTTAAGGGCTTTCAAACACTTACCATTGTTCGTCTGGCAGGAGATTCAGGAGCAGATGAAGGAGCTGAAGGTCCAAGCTGACGCCTCAAATCTTCAGCTCCAGGAGCTCAGCGGCCAACTGAAGGAGAAGGCAGCCCTGATCCAGAGCTTGCGAGACAAACTTACAGAGTCAGAGGTTGGTTAATAGTTGAGTGTTTGTGCAGGTCACTATACGCTTGGTGTTTGAGAGCCGTGCAACACGTTTCAGTTCACCTGCACCATATCCAAGCTTTTCCTAATTAAATACTGAATGTAATTTGATTTTCATTTTGTGTGACCGAATGCAGTTTTTGATTCTCCATTTCCCCGTAATTTGTCCTGCAGGTTCTGGCTCGGAGGAGCATGACACCAGAAGCTGCTGATCTCGCCGCCCTCAAAGACAAACTTGTCAAAATGGAGCTGGATCACATCGCGGTCACCACAAGTCAAGAGAAGGAGTATGTGTGAGCCGCTGATCCTGTGACGTACGGTTCAGTCTGGGAAGAGCGTGCTTAATGTGTTTCTGTGATTGTTTCGTTCTAGAGTTGCACAGATGACCTCCGTGTTGGAGCACAGAGCCGATGTCATCCGCAAGCTGAAAGAGACCCTGAGGAAAATGCAACAGGACGATGAACAGTCATGTGAGACACTTAGCATAGATGCACCTCCTCACCTTTCAGTGACAACTCACTCTTTTGAGATCAAAATGTGTCACCTGTGAGATTTGCTTGGATCCAGTGAGAGTGTTTTTATGAGGGGGGGGGGTTGAGACTGGAAGAACTGGTTGCTTCAATAAGTTTTATATAGTATTTTCTTTCATCTTTACTTCAAAACTATGTCTAAAAAGTGTGATATTTTATGTATTTGAGGTCTGAGATGTGGAAACGCTGAAGAGAGCGAGAGAGAGGGCAAACATTTAGCATTTTAGGTCAGCATTAGCTATGTTTCCATCCAAAGTTACGCGCAAAATTGGAATATCGCATAAAACATTTGCGAATAAAGCACCGTTTCCATCCAGTGCGTTGAAGAGAACTTCCTGCCTGACTTGCACTAAACATCACGAAGAAAACTAAATTTGCTGCAGCAGGAGAAAGCACTGTATATAGTCTAAAAAGTGTGATATTTTATGTATTTGAGGTCTGAGATGTGGGAACGGTGAAGAGAGAGAGAGAGGGCAAACATTTAGCATTTTAGGTCAGCATTAGCTATGTTTCCATCCAAAGTTACGCGCAAAATTGGAATATCGCATAAAACATTTGCGAATAAAGCACCGTTTCCATCCAGTGCGTTGAAGAGAACTTCCTGATTAACTTGCACTAAACACCACGAAGAAAACTAAATTTGCTGCAGCAGGAGAAAGCACTGTATATAATAACTTGTGTGTGCAATAAACTACGAGCTTCAGAGCGCGCAGACGTGCGCAGTCTGCTGTTTAGGAACGCAGTTCTGAGAGTTAATTATAACGAATCACTCTGACGAGACTTTGCTCAAGCATTTCAGGAGCAGTGCGATGAGATCGGTCTGTTGATTAGTCCAGTTTTATTCTGTCCCATCACAAACTCACATGTCTTTTTTGATGCGCATCAAGGAATTTATTCAGTAAAAGTGTTTCCATCGTAGTTTATGCGCATGTCTTCTTACCGGATAAGACATTTATCCTACTTAGTTGAGCGCATAAGAGTGTTGATGTGACTTTCTAAGTGTTTTATGCCACATCTCGTGCTGATTTCTCATCGTTTGATCTGTTTAAATGTCTTCTACAGTCATAGACGGCGATGAGTTTGATCTTAAATTGTGCTCGAGCACCAAAGAGAAGAAGATGGAGGAGCTGCAGAAGAAGAACGCTCGGTTTGAGAGGTAACCGCACCGAAACATCACGTCACTTCTGCTGCCGTCAAAACAGCTGAAATTCGAATTTTGCATTTAAATATTATCAATATTCGAATTTAAGAGGCATACTTTCAGGGATCCAGGATCACTTTAATTTTTGATATTAAAAAGAAGTGCATTCTATACTCTGCGTCTCCTCTCTGTTAATAAGCATTACTCGGACCTTTCCTAACTGTTCCTCATGCAGTCTGGTGAGCAAGCAGCAGGAGGAAATCAACAAATGGAAGCGGAGAGCGTACAAGATGAAGGAGAGCCAGCGAGACGCTCCATGCACGCCAACCAAACGCCTTCCTCCTCTGACAGAGACCGAACTCAACTCGCCCAAGAAGACCTTCCTGGACTCGCCCAAGAGCAAGTTCTTTGACATGCGCTCCAGCGTTCCTGTCCCCCTCCAGCATCCCCCACAGTTCTTCGATAACTCCAGCCTCGAGGCGGTGCCAGGTACGTGAGCGCTGCTGCCGTGTCTCATACGGTCACGCGTGCAGATCAGTTACTGTGAGTGTGTTCATGTTAGAGGATGCCTGTGCGCCAGCCAAGTCCTTCCTGGATTCTTCAGACAGCGATGAAGAGGGTAAATGCTCACGTGTGGGGTGTTCTTCACTAACACACTCCAGTGTGTTTAACCTCTTAACCGTCACCCGTCCCCTCTAAGTTTACTTCACTATATTACAATTAAATCCTAATCTAATCATGACAAACTTTATATCGTTGGAAAGGTCTAAGACTCCTAAATAGATATTTTATCACAGTTTTTTGTTATAAATTATGTAGGAAAAGTAATAGATTAATTTATGACAAGAGTGCACCTCAAAAATCTACATATACAGGAGTTCTGACCTTTGTCAAAAAAAGTCTTCTTTGTTGCCTTTTTCTCTATCACACTTTAGAAATCATCAGAAATTATATATCAATTGAAAACTTCAAATCTCAAAATTCATCCTTTGAAAACCATTTTAAAATCAGACATTGCATTACCATGAAAATGGTACATCACTATCATGTTACAAAATGTTTTCATTCATGAATTATAAAAATTTAAGTTTGGATCGTGCACTTTCACGTCTCTGTTCAAAAATGTGAGTGACAGTTGGGGTTAACCTGCAGGGTTCCCACGGGTCATGGAATTTCTGGAATATCATGGGATTTTAAAAGGTCTATTCTAGACATTGAAAGTCAGGAATTTTTTTTTTTTTGTCCAAGTCGTGGAATATCAGGGATTTTTGATTGTCGCTTTAAATTTTAGTTTTCATTGATCAAAATGCAATTTTTCTATACCATATTTTTATATAATTTTTTTTGCGTTTCACGTGTTTTGCCTGTTGTTATGGTTAGGCTACAGGACTCGACAATAAGGAGCCAGGGCCAGCGTTAAAGAAGCTCGTGACAGTTGATGGATTTTTCACTTGTAGTAATAATTTAATAATAATAATTTTTTATACCCATCCCGCTCATCAACTGGCAATCACTGAAGTCAAATGCAGTCACCAGGCTGTACAACTGGAGTACCAATTTTAGAAAATTTTACACATTTCATATTTTTAGCACAGAAGCCTGAAAGACGAATAAATATCGTATTGCTGGGTATGAGTATCGTATCGTATCGTATCGTGACGAGCTATCCGATTTACACCCCTAGCAATAATCCCGATATTTATGAGCAATGATTAACCGTTTAACGATTACCGTGCAGCCCTAATAACAGAACAATAGTGCCTGGTTTCTCCATTTCTGTCACCTGATGGAGTTTGGTTTCATTGTCACCTTTGGCTTGTTTAGTGTGGGTTTAAATGACAATATTCATAAAACAGTATCGCTTTTAATCTTATTCTGCATGTTTATTAGTGTGAAGCTGCTTTAAAACAATCTGTGTTGTATGAAGTGCTATAGAAATACACGTGACGTGAATGCTCCTCTAACTCTGTCCGTGTTTGTTTTAGATTCCAGCTCCAGCGCAGCATTAAATGCAGCTCCAATTAAAGACTGGTGGCAGATTCCTAACTCTTCACCAGCAAAGCCTGATGCTAGCGGCAATGCTAACTCATGCCCAACGCAGTAATCGCTGTTGTTTGTCTTTTTCTTGTATGTTTTTGTTGACACTTTCTGTTTTAATGTAAATAAAGTCAGTGTTTAAAATGCTCATGTGTTTTGTTTTGTGTTGATTTGAATTGTTTGGTTTATATTGGTTACACGTTCTGTTATACAAACAGTAACGCAGCTGAGATTTGCTATATTCCCAGTTATGAGGGAATGATGTCAGAACTTTGGCTAATATTCTGTCAAAGTTATGAACAAACATTACTACAGATCAGATAAATTAACAAATATTCTATTAATGTCTTCAAAACATCACAAAAACGTTGTTTGAAACATTTTAGATGTTTGTTTAATGTTTTTTTTTAAATGTTACTAGTTTTAGAATTTTCAGAGAACATTCAAATGTAACATTCCCATTATATTTGCAAAATGATACAATGGAACGTTCACTTAACATTTGTATAACCAAAGGAAAAAATGTTTTTAACACTTCTGAAATAACGTTTATAACCTAGAGGGTATGTTAGAAAAACGTTCTTGCAACTTTTTTGTTTTTTTGACAGGATATATTGCTTTGCATGATTAAGATGTTTACAGGCAAGTCTTTGTCAAGCCAACATTCAGAGTTTATCTTGAACTTTAACAGTTCAGCTTTAGTTTCTAAATGAGTTTATTGCCAGTGAAATGAACTCCACTGTAGTTTTGTAGTACTTTAGGCCGGTCTTTAGACCATTTTATGACGGTCTTGTCTCGGTCTCGACCACATTTGTACTCGGTCTAGTCTTGGTTTCAGACTAAGAGGATTTGGGATTTGCCCCTCCACTCATCCAAAGTATTTTAGAGCTTAGCATGTCTAGAAACATGTATATTTATTATACAAAAGTAACGTTCCTAAAATGTTTGCAAAATGATACAATGGAATGTTCTCTTAACATTCGCATAACCAAGAAAGAAGAAAAAACCATAAGCAAGCAGTTTTTAGGGAACATTCTCGGAACGTTCTGTCAAGGTTCTCTCAAATTTATGAACATGTTTCAGTAACGTTAATAGAATGTTTGCTCAAAGTGATCAGGTCTTTAATTAGGTCCTCAAAACGGTAAACACAAGCATTACTTATACATTGTTGAAATGGTTTTTCCTGAAATGTTTTAAATGTTCATGTAACATTTTTTTTAAATGTTGCCACTTGTTTCAGAACGTTCAGAGAACATTCAAACGTAACGTTCCCATAATGTTTGCAAAATGATACAATGGAATGTTCCCTTAAAAACATTTAAATGTTTTGTGTTCAGAGAACATTCGGATCTGTTGTGTGTGATGTTTTAGAGCGGGCGGATAATATAGTTCACACTGCATCAATACTAGTGCACAGCTGTATGAGTGTGGTGTTTGTCCAGATGTGTTTGTGAAGCGGCGAAGGACGGCGCTCTGGTGTTCCGTGTCTCTGTTTGGACTCTCTGTTCTGGTTCTGGTGGTCGGGCTGCTGTCGGCCACGCAGACGGATAACGTGGCCGTGTCTGGATACTATCCCGGGATTATAGTGAGTGACTCCACACCATCACTTTAATCAACTCTTTGTTTTGTCCTTTCTTTGGAGCAATAAAACAGCAGTCTGTCATTATGTTGCTGATGAAGATGGAGTCCAGAACAGTGTTGGGGAAAGTTACTTTTAAAAGCAATGCATTACAATGTTGCGTTACTCCCTAAAAAAGTAACTAATTACGTTACTTGGTTACTTTTTATGGAAAGTAATGCGTTATGTTACTTTTGCGTTACTTTTCAAATCTGGGCAGGGCTTGCTTGTTTGTTTTAAATATAAAAAGTTATATTTTTGGCAAATGTAAAACTTTTTCACACCAAAAGCCTCAGGCTAAAAGAAAAGTAAATTCACGTCTAACGGTAGAACGCGGAAGAAGAAAGTTCAACACTCTTCAGCAATAAAAACAGAACGAACGAACGAATGTTGGTTTATCTTGAGTAATTTTTGCTTATTAGTATGATTGAATTTGATCGAAGCTCAGCAGCAAAGACACTGGTTAATAAAATGGGATTAAATACATAAAGGATATTTGTATTATTTAACACATTTAATTATTGCAGGTTTGCGTCATATTCTGAGTTGCATTTCACTGTTTTTATTCATTTTGAGGAATACTTACGATTTCTCAACATGGGCACAGGAGAGCTTTCAATCAATAAATGGGGAAAAAATTAACTATCGTTACTTATTTTAAAAAGTAACTGATATTTTCTTGTAAATTAAAAAGTAGTGCGTTACTTTACTAGTTAGTACTTTAAAAAAAGTAATCTGATTACGTAACTCGCGTTACCTTGTAATGCATTACTCCAACACTGGTCAAGATATTGGGTTAAATCAAGTTTGTTGGTTTGTTCTCTTCTCGATGGCAGCTGAGTTTTGGAGCATTCTTGGGAATCGTTGGTCTGAACCTGGTGGAGAATCGCAGGCCGATGGTGAGTACAACCAGCCCAAATCATCTCGAAATGGCTTTATGGTGTATTTTAGATCGGCTCTCTGAGCGACGTAATGGCTCATCAATACAATTACAGCCATTGTATTTCAGTGAGGTTTATTTCTGTCCCTGTGAAATATATTTCAGATAATATTACTCGTTTTAGTAGGGAACACAAGGCACATCCGCCGTCAGATCGATGAGTGTGATTGGATATGTGGTCAGTAATGCTGAAAGTGATTGGCTGATGGATCAGGTGGAGCTTTAGCTGAATTAGATTAGCATTGATGATCGCTGGGCTCAAGAAGCTGCGGCCCGTCTTCAGTCCAACTCAACTCACCTCACAGCCTTATAGAAACCAGATGTTTGTTGTTTACCCGTGTAAAACTCACTGATGTGATGCAAAAGCGTCGCTATGTGACTAATGGTGTTCCATGTGGTTGCTAGGGTGTTGCTATGGGTGCAGTGTGGTTGTTAAGGTGTTGCTAGGTTACAATAATGTCTTCAGTATCATTGCTAGAATATTGCTATGAAATGTAGGGTGTTCAGTGTGGTTGCTAGGGTGTTGCTATGGACTGTAATGTGTTCAGTGTGGTTGCTAGGGTGTTGCTATTCGACTAATGTGTAGTGTGGTTGCTAGAGTGTTGTTAGGTGACTAATGCCTTCAGTGTTGTTGTTAGAGTGCTTCTATGGACTGTGATGTTTAGTGTGGTTGCTAGGGTGTTGCTATGTGACTGTAATAGTGTTCCATGTGGTTGCTAGGGTGTTGCTATGTGACTGCAATTGGCACTATTTTCAGTATTGTTTAGTGTGGTTGCTAGGGTGTTGCTATGGACTGAAATGTTAAGTGTTTGCTACAGTGTTGCTATGTGACTGTAGTAGTGTTCCATGTGGTTGCTAGGGTGTTGCTATGTGACTGCAATTGACACTATTGTCAGTATTGTTCAATGTGGTTTCTAGGGTTTTGCTAAGTGACAGTAATGTCTTCAGTATCATTGCTAGAGTATTGCTATAGACTGTGTTCAGTGTGGTTACTAGGGTGTTGCTATGTGACTGTAATTGCCACTATTGCCACTATTGTTCAATGTGGTTGCTAGGGTGACTGTGTGGTTGATAGGGTGTTCAGTGTGGTTGCTAAGGTGACTGTGTTTGGTGTGGTTGCTAGGGTGTTTGGTATGGTTGATAGGAGCTGCGTCCTCCAGAGGTCGCATTTGAAGGCTGCATACGTCATTAAGGATGTCTTATTTAAGAAAAGTAACCGTAATAAAATTGACTGTTATTCCTTGTGAGGTTTAAAATACTATAATTTCTTTTTTACTTTGCAATTTAAGTTATTTTTCTTAAATGAGACTTCCCCGATGACGTATGCAGCCTTCAAATGCGACATCCGGAGGACGCAGCCTTCAAACTGAGACGCTGCAAGGGTGTTCAGTATGGTTGCTAAGGTGACTGTGTGGTCACCAAGGCGACTGTGTGTTTGGTGTGGTTGCTAGGGTGTTTGGTGTGGATGCTAAGGTGTTTGGTGTGGATGCTAGGGTGTTCATTGTGGTTGCTAGGGTGTTTGGTGTGGTTGCTAGGGTGTTCAGTGTGGATGCTAGGGTGTTCAGTGTGGATGCTAGGGTGTTCGGTGTGGTTGCTAGGGTGTTTGGTGTGGATGCTAGGGTGTTTGGTGTGGTTGCTAGGGTGTTTGGTGTGGATGCTAGGGTGTTTGGTGTGGTTGCTAGGGTGTTCAGTGTGGATGCTAGGGTGTTCAGTGTGGATGCTAGGGTGTTCGGTGTGGTTGCTAGGGTGTTTGGTGTGGATGCTAGGGTGTTTGGTGTGGTTGCTAGGGTGTTCAGTGTGGATGCTAGGGTGTTCAGTGTGGATGCTAGGGTGTTCGGTGTGGTTGCTAGGGTGTTTGGTGTGGTTGGTTTGGTGACGGCTGAATCTTGTATTGATGATGCTGTAACCTGGTTTAGCAACTCTTGTCACAAATGGGGTCCAAAAGGAATGTTTTGACACCTGTTAATGACGAGTGAATTCAATATTTTTTACCAGCCTTCAAACTGTTTATTTTTTTCAATATGTAATTGTGTTGCTTTTATATTAGGATATTGTGAGCAGCCAACCAGCAAAATGTATAAAATGTTTGTAACTGTCAGTTGTTAATTTTAGACCCTGGTAATAAATCACACACAGACACACACACACACCGGCGTTACCATGGCGAAGGGAAGTTGTGCGTCTGTAACCATGGTGACGTGTTGTTGATCTGGGTGTGATTTAGGCTTCTGTTGTGTCCTGGGCTCTGATCCCAGTACATCCTTTAAAATTTAATGAACAACACACACACACACACACACTCATTTAACACAATCTACATGCACACACAGGACAGTTTTATACATACACCTGACACACACACAGTGCCGGTAAACTGAATCCAGGCGCTCAGGTGAACACATTAATGTGCAACAGCCCGTATCACACTGCAGCTTCAGCTTCCATTTCCTGAGCATCACTGCAGACTCAGTCCCATGACCTCTGACCCCTCGGAGATTGCAGGAAGTGACCAGAACATTGTTGCCAGAGAGTTTCGAGGTCAAACGCTGCAGAATTATGACTATA